ATCACAGTATGGTGAGGGGCGTAACATTTCCGTCTCACGCTTGAGGTATTCGGCCAATCACAACACACTGTAGATCTGGCCAATCAGAGCACACCTCGCTTTTTCAGACCGATGAGCTTTGTAAAAATCGACGCTATTCAGAAAGGCGGGGCATAGAGGAGAAACAATAATGTACAGTATGTGGAAAATACGTTTTTTGAACCTTAAACCGCATAAACACATTGCATTACACCAAATACACAAAATAATGTTCTTTTTAGCAGCATCATATGACCCCTTTAAGAAAAAACAAATAAAAATGTCAAAAGCACATAATAAAATCACTAAAAACGAAACTAAAATAAAGAAAAACTGAACTAAAGCATTAGACTAATAAAAACTATAAGTATGCAAGTAATACTAAAAATAACACTGTGAATCTCCTACAGAAGCATATCTCAGTTTAAAGTCTGCTTTGATAAAAGGATCTAAAAATAAATTGTAAAGGATTTCAGTGTAAGTGTCAGAGTGAATTGTGTGTGTTCCGGCTCTCTTACGTGTGTGGTCTTGGCTTCTTTTTCACTGATCTTTTCTTTGATGAGTTTTATTAATGATGTGATGTTGTAAAACTCGGCCTCTTCAAGAGCTCCTGAGAGACACACACACACACGCACACATGCAAACAGAATGAAAGCTACACAGCTGCAATCACAGTCTCAATCGGGTCAGTTTGACTGTGGATGTGTGCCGTACCCTCCTCTGTCAGGTTCTTGTTGAGGACCAGCTTCCCATGTCTGAGGTAATTCAGCACAGGCCCGAAATACATGGGATCCCTGTCAATCAAATACGCCCCAGACTCATCCTACAGTTGAAACCAACAGACAGAGAATGAAAACGTTATTTAGGCTATGTGTTATTATATATAGGCTAACATACAGGTACTGCCTAGGAACTATCGGAAAACCAACACTACAAAAAAAAATCAAGTTCTCATTATTATTCCAAAAACAGTGCATTTTTATTTTAGCATAGCGTGCGAGTCTGCGAACACTGAGAGAGGAGAAGCATTAGAGGAAAGTGAGTTTAAACATTAATGCGCTGTGCGCTTGTGAGACCCGGTGTCTGTCTGCAATGGCATGCAGGCCACAGTCATAAAAAATAAATGTACGCACATGCGCGAGAACTCCCAGCCCATACAACCTTCAACCAGGACGATTCAAACCGAGCCTGGAACAGTGAGTGAGGCTGAAATCACTCTTTTATCAAATCTGGGGCACAAACAGAGCCTTAGAGACTCCTGCTCTTTACAGGGTTAAAGCCCCAGAGAGCAGGATTATTCTGGATTAGGGTTATTTTGAGATTACCGCCTGAGATTTGAGAGATGAGAGGAGGTGAGACAGCCGGAGCTTCACTAGCCCAAAAACATTGTGCCACGCGCTGTGCAAACGGCAAAATTTAATTTTATTTATATAGTGCAATGATATCACTTAAATATGCACTCTAATTAATATTTATGTTATAAAGTTTAAAGAGGAAGTGTGTGTTTATCGCCTCCAAACAAAATAACTAAAATAATGACTGTTTCCAACAGGTTTCCCGAACACTGCCCCGCCCCCATCTGGCATTGGTTGAACAAACATGTAGCTCCGCCCCCAAATACACACTATTGGTGGAGCAATAAACAGGGCAAGGTTTTGGTAACTACAAATAATTCACTTTATAATATCTCAGCATATTAGAAGATAATTACTAAGATTAAGTATTTTAACAAAATGTTTTTTTAAATACTTTAGCTTATTAATGATTAATTCAAACATTAGGCAGTAAGATTTCAATGACTGTAGAAAATCATTTTCATCCATTTAACATGCCACAACAATGGTATTTCTACTCAGTTTTCAATTTGTATCTTTTTTAATAATATTTTTGATGTATTTGATCAGTTTTCTGATTCAAAGTGGGTTTTAAACCCAATTTTAACATTTAAAAATAAATAAATAAATAACATGAATGAAAAGCACTTCAGCTTCAATTATAAATTCAAATATGTCATATTTAATAATGTAGGCAATTATTCCATCTTTTTATTACTAAATATTTATTTTCATCCATTCAGCGTCAACATAATGCTGTTTCTACTTAGTTTAAAATTTTTATTCATTTTTAAAAATATATTTTACTAATATTTTTTTTTTATTTGATCAGTTTTGTGAGTGGTTGTATAAAGTGCAATGAATTTGCAACCATAAATTGCAATGGTTGATTTTATACTGAAAAACTGCAGTTTGGAGTAGATGTAGTCAGGCTGATTCAGTCATTAAATAATACTTCTAATTTTTTACTTAATTTTTACATGAAACAAATTAATTTAGCTGTAACCACATTTACATCAAAGTTGTAAATAAAAATGATTGGAGTATATTTTACAAGAAAATACTATTTCAGTCTTTCTACTTCAAATTTGTACATTTAATTCAATGTGTTACTTGCCGTTAATTTGTAATTAATTGTGAAATTTAGCCATTTCTGAGTGAAAATTGTTTCTACACCAAATTTCCTCCAGTGCACATTTTAGGTTAACAAAATATTTTTTTCACAGCGCATTTTTGGCAGCAAAAAAAAAAAAAAAAGAAAAGATAAAAAACAGATTTTATTATTTTTGAAAACAATTTAAGGCACGAACATATCACAAGCCTTGAAACCTCCGACAGTGATCTTTGCCTGATCTGACCCGTGCAGCGTAACCTTCCACCCTGATCTCTGACACAGCTCGGGTGTCATAAGCGGGATTGTGTCCAGATTACAAGGCAAAACTGGGGCAGATGTGCTGATGATGTCATCGCACAGCCACCCCAGAACGCCAATTGTTTCTACACCAAATTTCCTCCAGTGCACATTTTAGGTTAACAAAATATTTTTGGCAGCAAAAAAAAAAAAAAAGAAAAGATAAAAAACAGATTCTATTATTTTTGAAAACAATTTAAGGCACGAACATATCACAAGCCTTGAAACCTCCGACAGTGATCTTTGCCTGATCTGACCCGTGCAGCGTAACCTTCCACCCTGCCTGCTCAGTGCACATAATGCACATTTTTAGGTTATTTAGCAATTTCTTTACAGTGCCGTGTTTTTTTGGCAGCAAAATTCAGATTCTAATATTTTTGGGAACAATTTAAGACATCAGAAGCCTTCACTTGAAAGCTCCGCCAGTGATCTTTGCCTGATCCGACCCGTGCAGCGTAACCTTTCCACCCTGATCTCTGACACAGCTCGGGTGTCATAAGCGGGATTGTGTCCAGATTACAAGGCAAAACTGGGGCAGATGTGCTGATGATGTCATCGCACAGCCACCCCAGAACGCCACACCCGGTGCCACAATCCACCCGTACATCTTCACCAGCCATGAACACTCACAGAGAAGAACAGAAGAGACCTTGTTCTGGCACTGAGAGAGGAGGGGTGGAGCAGACGGTAAAAGTGGGTTTGTTCGTGTCCATCCGACAGGAAAACAACTCTAGACAAAAACAACCATCTGGACAAGCCCCAAATTACCATAGACAATACAAATAACTCTATACAACAATATAAGCGAATATGAACTGCAAAACTGGGGCAGATGTGCTGAAGATGTCATCGCACAGCCACCCCAGAACGCCACACCCGGTGCCACAATCCACCCGTACATCTTCCCAGCCATGAACACTCACAGAGAAGAACAGAAGAGACCTTGTTCTGGCACTGAGAGAGGAGGGGTGGAGCAGACGGTAAAAGTGGGTTTGTTCGTGTCCATCCGACAGGAAAACAACTCTAGACAAAAACAACCATCTGGACAAGCCCCAAATTACCATAGACAATACAAATAACTCTATACAACAATATAAGCGAATATGAACTTATGTTGTTAAATAACAGCCAGATTCAGCTTCATACCCATGACCCATTTTAAAGAAACTCCTCAATATTTAGAAGAAAGAGATCTTTTGTCTTGAGAATAACTAAAAAACAATTCAATGGTCCTTTAGTTTTTTTTTTAAACAATTCATGTACAGCTTTCAGCTTTGGTTTTGTTTACATTACAGCATTTGTACACTGTTTAGATTTTTGCTTTTAATTTATGATCTGTAGATGCACTTTTATAATAATGTTCATATATTAATTCTAACAATATCCTATATAGGCTAATAATAGGCTTGTATTAATAAAATGACAATATTTTTTTTACAATTTAATTGTATAAATGATGTCAATATAATAGTATTATAATAATATTTAAACTATTTAAAAATGAAATAGGTTTTAAAGAGGCTGTATTTCAGTCTCATTTCAAAGACTTCTGCACTCTCTAACCTACTTTTCACAGCCATACTTTATAAATTACTTATAAATTAACTAAATAAATAAATGGTCTGGCTTACATTTATCTAGGCTGTTTATCTTATTTTAATGATCTCTAAATGAAATAAATCAAGCTGTAGTTACCTTATCAGAATCGAGGTCTGGTTCCGATTGGCACAGCCGGAACAGGAACGATTTGGGATCCCGGCAGAGCGTCTGTCTGGTGGTCATAAAATACGTGCCGCCGACGTTCAAACGGACCCACTTGGAGGATCTGTGGTTGAAGGTTTGTACCGGAGCCGGTCGCCGGCAGTCGTGGCCGCTGATCTCGCCGTGACTCTCGGCCATCCTGCGTGCGGTGTTCTGCTGAAATGCGTAACGGTGACCGCGCACCTCTCCAGTGACCAACACCGCACTGCCGGCGCAGAGAAACACCCCTCACTTTTTTTTTTTTTAGGCTCAAGACGCTGAAAAGACACGGGCTTTGTTGTTGTTTGCGACATCTAGACGTACTGTAGCTTGTGATTCGAAAGAGAATTGTTTTTTTGAACCGATACTTTTTAATGATTCGACCGAAACGCTTAGCAAAGTGTTTGGGAGTCACTCAACTGTAAAAACTTTGTTTACCAGTAAAATTGTTAGACGGTAACAATATCATTAATAATAGTGGGATTAATTATATTCTAATTATAAATTAATATTAATTTGATTATCGACATTATTAAAATAAGGTTATTTTGTAATATTAAAAAAAGAACAAATGCTAGGGTGAATTTGGGTAATCTGGGACACCTAAACTCCAGTGCGTTTATTTCCTGTTCTAACAAAATTTAGTCAACAGGACTTTTACTATAATTTTAGCAGATGTCATGTGACTGAAATCACATGACTTAATTGGGGTGATTCCACAGAAAGGGGCGGGGCACTTGTCAATCAAGAAGCTCCCCTGGGAAGTGTCAGTGACATAGGATTCTGACTAGATTAATGTTAAGGACATAAATCTGTCATAAATAATACAATGTTCCTAATTGTTGTCAAATTATGTTTGTGATCTATTCAAGCAACAAAATATGTATTAAAGTGTTGAAAATGTGTTTTAGTTTTTTTTCTTTCAAACATTTTGTTGTTGTCCCACATTATCAAATATGATTGAGAATGTGGAACAGCATGCTTTGGGTAATCTGGGACAGTCTTCAAATGGAGGAAATATGCATTTAGGGACTGATAATATATGCTATAATGACTATAATGAGTTAATGTGGACTACTGGAGGTTATAACATGAGCATAAGTTCACAGTAGCTAGCAGCTAGCGCAGCTAGCTAGCTAGAGAGATGCTACAGAGATGGAATCTGGGAAACGTATTCCAGTAGCAAGCAAAGGTATCAGGATGAAGTAAACTGTTAATTTCATTTCCCAAATTCCCAGTTAGTTTAGTATACAATGGTTCAAATCACTGAGCAGGAGGGGGATCTGCGCCCAGGCCAGCTGACAATGTTCTGTACACA